ATATGTTAGCCTCTGTCAGATAGCATATCACAGTAAACACCACGACTTGTACATCTGACTGGTGTTCGGTCTAATCTGGTATCAACAAGGGGATGGAACTATGTAGGTGAACGTGGAGAAGTGACTGTAGGGGAAATGCATTAAACACGAAACTAGATCTATCCAGCAAGAACTGTCATTACTGATCGCCTTGAAACACTCAGGAAAATCTCCCAGTGTGTTTCAAGAGTGTATGTGATAACATATAGTATAAGGTGGTATTGATTCTCTGGAAGTAAGCTGAGACTCTATGATAAATGCTATCATTATCTACAGTTCAGTAAAACTACGTCTTTTTCGTTATTTGTCATATCTAGTTATGTCGTGAAATACAAAGGTTAGCAATTTGTTCTTTTTATTTGATGGACTATCAACGGGGACCGTTTCAGCATCCATGTGTGACCTTGGGAGAGCGTGTTGGTATGTCAGTCACAGATAGCCACAAGACAAATCAATATATAGATTCTTCATTTTTCAATATATGAATTTTAAAACGTGATGTTGATCAACATGATAGCAGCCAATCATACAGCTCATATCCCCTTCTGTATGATACTAGTTAGACTAATGTTTAGTCTCTGAATATATATAAGGTTGATAGTAACAAACAAGCCCATTTAAATTGACAAAGGGAGACCAGAGACTCAGAACCTGAGGAAATCTAGACTTGCTTTGTTTAGGGCTTCAGCACTGCAGAGAGGGCTAGGCAGTAGGGAAAATAATGTGGTTAAGGGATTGTGAGACAGACTACATACTTGTCTTTTTCTATGGAAATACAATAACCGTATCACCATAATAATCATTCTAATTTGAGAAACGGGATGTTGAGTATGCTGTGGTTTTAAATGTTATGGCGCCCTGTACATTGCTGCATGAGACACACTTTATCAGAGGCAGGTGCAGCCTTGCAGCAATACGATTCCCAATTCGGTTCGACTCAAATGGCAAGCATAGGTACTGGTGACCAGGGGCTCACGTTACAAAGCAAGCTTAATGCCGCAACAGTTGTAAGTCTATGTCAAGCACACGCGTTACGATCCTCTTTACACTAAGTCCGGCCCAGTTATGCCTCGGTATGTCTATAGTACCTTAACACTTCATCTTAAATGTTTATAATTGCATGTCACCATTTATTTCAGTCCGTATAATGTCTTCCGTTAATTTTGATGCAATATAATTACACATAATAAGAAATAGTCAATATGGAATATACAAATGTAATCTTCTATGAAATGTCTGACAGTAAAAAGAGATATCGATATCAGTTATAGGTACAAATGGACGGGCGAGCGGACAAGCTGAAAGGACAAGAGGGTATATATACAATGCGGAGCTTACTTAAAAGGGAACATTATGCGATTTATGAGCGACTGAGGAGGTATGTTTCAGACCGATGTCAGACATATCGCAGTGAGTCAGCTTCTCGTAAAGCATATAAAATGCAGATGGCCTATAAATATCACCTTTCCTAAATCGAGGAGCAAAAAGAACGCAAGCACCATTTTTTTCGGGCAAAACCTGGAGGCGACTTTCAGCACCATAGGTTGCGGTGACAACCTGTTGGCGGCATCTGCACGGAATTCCCCAGAGATTTCTTACGATTGTGGAGATGTTCTTTTTTGCTCATATATTCTAAAAGGTCTATCGTGTGCTTGCAAAAACAGTAGGATTTTGGCCTTGAAACTGGCAACACCTGGAACGAAAACCTACTCACATGTGTGGCGATAATAATGTGTGTTTTGTAGTTAAATCTTAGACATAAATCGTCTTGCATAGGATAGTTCTTTGTATGCTTTTTACTCACGTCTGTTCTGAAGAACTTAATTGAAACGGATGTAGAATGCCCTATACTATTGAAATATACATGTAGTTTAAATTCATAATTGTTAAATATTTATAGAATAATCATGAAAATGGTTGCTATGATTTTACAAGAACACATGGCTAAGTGTAAAACTGTTTGGATCAGTGCATTTTCCCTGTGGTCCTGCCATGACACACATTCCCTAGGGAAGTTTTTTTGGAGACAAAACATATATTTCAATCATAGCGTTTAGTACATACAACATCTTTATCTAAATATGTGAACCAAAGTCTGTTTGAAAGAGCATTCTGTGAAAATATATTTTAGATCATTGCAACCCTCACATCCACCTCAAAACATCCAGTGGCCAGTCCCAAATGAGAGACAGGTAATAGCTGTGAAACAGTTTGACGCAAGTAAATTTCATCGACAATAGTCAGTTACCTTCAGCTCCGAGGTCTTCAGTCCGACTAAGTGAGAAGTGTGAATCGTTTAGTAGACGGGAGCCATCAATGTGCATAGTGTCCGTATAGTACACAGTACTCTTCCACATTATGAAGCATGGCTGATTCAAGTGAAGTCTGCTTCCAAATGTGCGCAAATAGAATCACTAAAGGCAAATTGCCATACATGGAACTCTGAGAATCTCCTGGGACTAGTCATACACATTATTGTGAACTCTGACATACACGAGGCAAACTAGACACACAAAGGTAGCATTTTCGCTGTTGTGGCATTTAAAGGCACCATTGTATATGAAATCAATTAGTGAATGAAGAATCGATGTACAGGAATAGCCTGACATTGTCTTGTATGATACCATTGTTTAATAAATACTATATTCACAAAATCGACTGATTTGTTTCAATTTTCAACAGTGAATTAGAACTTTTCGAACTCATTTTTACGCCTATAGAACATGGGTTTGATGTCCTTTGATACAACGGGATTTGGAAAGGATGATAAGGAGATTTTGAATGCATTTCATAAAAGAGCCCCTGTTGTTCATATTCTTCTGAAGTGTACCTCAGTGAATATTTGCAAACTGACAGATATTTTCTAAACAACTGTTATACTGTATCAGTCCTCTTTATGGTCCATTGTCAACGCGCCAGTCAGTACGAAATGCACCAGGTTCTGATGGGAGCGTTCTGCACGTATGGTATTTGGCGTGACTTTATGATCAATTTGGCAGACAGGTTTTTAACTGTATTGTCTCGTTTTTGTCGTGCATAATATACTAGGCATATGCCAAACTGGTATTTCAAAACAAAACCAAAAAAGACAAAAAATCCATTGTAACATTGCAGTTCTTTTAGTGAGAATGTTTTAAGCAATGTGCATAAGTCGGATCTTAACTTAATTAGTACTCTCGCGAACTTGGTTTGCTATTTCAAATCTTTGTCTTGAAGAATTCAGTCATACCTCCCACGTTGCATAAAAGACGAAAGTAACATAGCCACTAGCAGTCGTTACGTGTTTTTACCGAAGATGGAATTACATCAACAAACTATTTGCATGTTCAGAAGTTCCCTTCAGGTATCACAATGTTTTCCCGTCAATCCTTAGCTGAGATTAATAGAACGCCATCGGGCATATAAAAGCTCGACACGCAAATAAAAGCTCGACACCTATATCATGTCAGGCATACTTCCTATTAAACAGGAGAGGTGTCGTTTGTTTGTTGTATAACCAAACAATACTCATGATGAGCAATGTTCCAGCTGTATGAAGGTGGTCTGTAAATAATCGAGTCTGTACCAGTGACTGACATCATGAACATCAATCCAGGCAACTGGGACACGATGACATACATCAACCCAGTCAGACAACCTGACCACCCCATCACTTCAGTCCCCTCGTACAAGAATGAGTCGCTGAAGACCACCGCTAAGTCAGAGATCAACACCGGTCAACAACGGACGTGAAAAGGCTGAATTTAATTAGAACGGCATTCTTCTGTTGTCTAAAGTGTTCCATTAGCGTAAATGAAACAAGAAATACACATACATACGTACAATGGTCGTGTACGTACAGCTTCTCAGCACGCCCGAATCTATCACGTATCAAATGATCCATTTAAATAAAATGAACGTACACTGAGCAGCACACAATTATTCAAAACTGCACGCATCACAGGAGCCGCAGTTTGACGGTTATTCAATAATTGGTGATATTAATCTTGCCTGACATTGACTCTGATTTATCAATTTCTGCAGAGACATAAAAGCGTCTGCATGTCCTCTTAACTTCCAGTTTCTCCACGGTTACATATTTAATGACGTATGAAGGAAATAACGACTGACCTTGCGATGTTCCGGTGGTTCTTTCACTGATCAATAAGTCCTACTATGACCAGAACCGTTGGCCTACGTCTGTGCTTTACTTTCCCCAAAATTAGATATAAATTGCTTTGATTTGTAAGATTTCTTACAAGGCGGAAAATGTAATCAATATCGAGTTGTGGAATATCCCAGATACAAATTGCAAGGACATTCATGTATTTCCAGTCAGGATGTTAAAAAATCTACATTAGCTCCTCGGAGCTAATATTCAGAAGAATATGCTTTTCACAATCAAAATGCACATTTCACTTTCTGATTCACAAATGTGTGTGCTTTAAATTATCAACGTATCCAACGTAAGAAAACCGTAGACGTTCTACCAATTAGGGCTATATGTACATGATGTTTCGTGAATAGACGAAAGACAGTACAATACCCACATCTGGTCAAGTTGAACGTGATAAATCATACCGGGAGTCAAGTTCAGTAAAGAATCAACCAACGGTGAAGCTGACATTTAATTATTTTTTGTCCTAGTCCGTTATGATTATTTTATTTCATGTATTCTGTTGAGATTGCGTGAGGCTTAACATTATGAGGAGAGATATTGCTTCATGAGTGAAACTGACTTAGATGCAAGCTTCAAATTGGATGTTATTAGGCTTCGTCATGAATAATCGTTTTTATATTCAATACTGGATGCGTAATTAATTCAGATGAGCACAGACAGAATGCAGGTATTAATAACGGTAATTTCAGCATACCAGACAGTGTTAAATGTATATAAAATGATTGAATAACGTTCCTGGACCATGGAACAGGATATTGAATATTTAAATACACAATGACATTTAGATAGTGCTCAAATACAGCATATGTTACAGTTGGGATTACATTTGCCCAGTGAGGTACATATTCTGGTACTTTTATGTGTAGAGTGCCATATGGTATTCGAACCCATACTCTCAGTGTGATGGACCTAATCCCCAGCACGCAAAGTCAGCGACGGCTGGATGGGTTAAATCGCTGTCTTTATATTTAAACGAACATGTTATCGAGTACCCAAGGACCTTGGCGACTTTGGGTTTAGGGAACATAAACAAACATCGAGGGTACATCAACCCATGCCCCCCTCGTGACCAGTGAACAACTTTAAATGAACGTCACATATACTGACCGGTGTTGAGTGACCCGTCTCAGGTTGAAACAATGAGCATCTGCCAACCAGGGACAGAAACATGTGAAACCAACAAGCCATGAACAAGAAAATATATCAAGAACGGTAATGAAAGCAAGTAAGTTTACGAGAAACTACGAAGCCATTACAATGACGGTACAAAATACAGTGGCATTACAAATCAATGGCCATATGAGATATTATTTTATCATTATACAAACAGCGACATTTGTCATGAAGACAGTGATGGTAATTGACCTCACTGACTCAGTGATTAAGCTTCCAACATAGGCGAAGATATGTATGTAGGGTGACAATTGATCTTCACACTTGGTGTAGTGCTGGTCTAATTACAACTTGCAGCAAGACAGGCGTTCCTATGTGAAGAACAAACAACACAGCTTCCAGACCTCGCTGGGTCAGACTACTCTGGGATATTCCGAAATAGCCCCGAAAAACCCCAGAGCAGTCATTCTCCCAATCTAATTATAGTAACCAGCAGACTACCGCCCTCGACTGAATCTTGGGAGACAATGTAATACAAATGCAACACTGTCTAACTGTGAATGACACTGTCACGTTACAACAGCAAAGGTAAAGGGAGTTACAAAATGATAGTTTGGATCTGGCTTATATTGTAGTGTATACAGAAAGGTCATAATGCAGCTGTCGTCTCTGTAGCAGTTCGCAACCACTCTGTAAATGTTGCCGATGAATGTGTCGGTCCTGGTAAAGGATAATAAATCATCATCTGAGCTGCCGATCACCAGGTGTGTCAGTCGTGTTGAAACTATGCAGTCTGTAGATTATGGACGACTTGGCACAGGTTGACAACGGCCGACAACGTCCGGTAAACGTCAGATGGATTCACTTTTGGGGAGTATTTGTATCTCACAGAAACAATTTGCAGTTCAACATACACATGTCAAGCAATATACACTAATACGGATGTAGGCTGAGCACAACATAAACATTATAGCGATTCCAAAAGTGGAAGTAACTGCAAATAACTGCAGTGCTAATCAAAATGACCAGCACGACATCCTGTTTGTATGAGACCACTCCTCCTCAATGTCTCTTCAGTCTGATTTGTTCTCATTTATGTTTGATGTTGCCAACGCGCAGATATAGGCATTGTCTCGGAGCAGTAAAAGTTTATGGACAACAACTTCTTATTTAAAAAAAGAAAATCACTCTACCGCTTTCATCCACTTGTGGAGAGTAACAATATTCAATATTTCAATTTTCCCCAAGAGATAGATGCTGACATCCAGCAGTCCCCACTGTGTACACCTCTGTGCAAATGCAAGTCAAAGACGTGATACGATCTCAAAGGTCTGGCCAGTAAGTGTTACAGGGACACTGTCCAACAGTCAACAAGAAAAGACAAATACCACAAAACGATCGTTTTCCTCGCCTGAAATGGTCCACAGCTGAGGCGTTCAGCTATGGTAGCGTGTGCATTACCACATTGCCATTCACCAATCTCTGGGTTCCGACGGTCTTTACACAAGGCGTTTTATCGTTTAGGACTCCTCTCATGTCATGTCTAGTTAGTATTCATTGTCGTAAACGTCAATTTAGTTTGGACCAGGGTCACTATGGAACGTGCTGTTCTGAGGAGAGAAACGTTTAAAGACACAGAGAGACCTTGAACGTCAGATGTAGAGGATGAACTCGGTTACTGGTGCCTGGCTATAAATGAAGCTAAACATAGCGTCCATAGTGGCCGTGTCTGGGGTGAAAGAGATCAGAATGTAGCAGATATATGGCATTTGTCTTTGGTTCTCCAATCTCAATCACCCACAGTACCCACATTGTACTGTCACCGGTAATTACCTTTATTGAACATGGCGAATCGTCGAAAGGCGGCTTTCGTGAAATCGGACTTCGTAACAAACTGTCACCAATGATTTCATCACTGCGGACGTTTATCTCGCCACATACATATACGCTATTGGTAGTCATAAATCGTAGGTCATTTACATTCCAACGCATTCTGTTTAATGCAAAACAGTGGAATTTGCAATATGTGTATTTCATAAATATGTACAAGAGGACATGTTGTATTTAAGACCCATGAAGATCCGGGTTAAAATTGATCTTCAGCAACCCATGCTTGTCGTAAGAGGCGACTTACGGGATCGGGTGGTCAGGCCCGCTGACTTGGTTGACACATGTCATCGCATGCCAATGCGTAGAACGATGTTCATGACGTTGATCACTGGATTGTCTGATCCAGACTCGATTATTTACAGACCGCCGTCTTATAGCTGGAATACTGCTGAGTGCGGCGTAAAACTAAACTCACTCACTGTTATTGTTAATGTCGTATGTTGTACTGTAGAGTCACGATGACACTACCAGCACTACTTCCAGGTGTCATATTGGCCGCCACTACAACACAGATTACGTACAAGACAAGGTCACAAAATCAATTACTTCCATTTATTCTTGATAGCCAAGGTGCCACATTCATCATCATACTGCGCTATAGTTCAAACACAAAGCATGAAACACCATTGTAAGGCACATCGATATTATAATATGAGTAATCGATAATATTGCTTTATTCCGCAGAAGAAACTACATGTTCAATGCCCAAGGGAAATCAGCCGTTACATTATCGTCAAGGATCATAAGGAACGGTACATCAATGCAGCTAAAGCTGGGGTATTTTTGTAGATCAGCCATTACATATTAATCTGTTATCCCTAAGGATAGACACGGAAACATAATTACATGTGAAAACCATCTCCTAAGTAGTTTCATCCCTTTCTCGTCAAGAGTAGAGCCTTGCTTAATTCAGAAGATTGTTATCCAGCACTGTGTGGAGTAATATGTGTAATTAGACCTCTAATGACAATGTAACAACGAATAGTAACTATTATTTAGTAGCATGCCATTAACGGTAAAAACATGATGCAGGGAGCATTGTTTCTCCCTGAGGTTCTGCTGTTGTTCCAAAGATGGGGTTTGGTACGTGTCGGTACATGACATCCATAAAGTAGATATAATTTATTGTAATGATGCCAGGTTATTTGTAGTTTCATCACTTACTATCAGGATCGACCCGTGAAGATCCGGGGTAGAAATACCCATCTTCAAGCAATAGCTTCCATTAAGGCTATAAATATTTCACTAGCCATAAAAGGCGACTATGCTTGTCGTAAGAGGCGACTAACGGGATCGGGTGGTCAGGCCCGCTGGCTTGGTTGACACATGTCATCGGTTCCCAATTGCGCAGGTCGATGCTCATGCTGTTGATCACTGGATTTTCTGGTCCAGACTCGATTATTTACAGACCGCCGCCATATAGCTGGGATATTGCTGAGTGCGGCGTAAAACTAAACTCACTCACTCACTCACTCACTATCAGGATCACATTGTACATATTTCTTGTAAGTTGAGTTGGCCGTGTGCATTAGTGGCGGTTGATAGCGGCATTAAAGGATGGGCATGGCACGTTTTAACTCGGAGTTGCGTGTCCAAAGTGTAAGCTACTTTTACACATTGTACTTAGCATTCTTGCATATAGCCTGTGCCGTTAGTATCGTAGACAACCTTTTATACCCATCATTTGCCGTCATCCCAGTAACTCTATATTTTTGCTTCAATTCAGTATTTGTGAATAGATTCGGAATGTGTCATCCACAACATGACGAACGTCTTGGGCGGCTAGGAGTCAACGAGAGGTAGTCCATATATCTCAGACTGTGAACAAGTTTCTGTACATGCAAAATGACAATAATCGGAACGCAAAGGATGACCTCGGTCAACAACACAAGACCAAGATTGATTAATCAGAAACCAGACTTTCGGCAATAGAACGTTAGCAGACAACCAAGGCTCTGTTCTCATGCACAACCACCTTTACGCCGCTTTTAGCAATATTCCAGCAATATCACGGCGGGGGACACCAGAAATGGACTTCACACATTGTGCCCATGTGGGGATTCGAACCCGGGTCTTCGGCGTGACGAGCGAACGCTTTAACCACTAGGCTACCCAACCGTCAAAGAAGGTTAGAACTCTGCATTAAACAGTTCTGTATGGTCAACGTCCACGCGTTGTGCTACCGTTAACAAATTGTCCAATTGTGTTTGGAGGCAAGGAACTAGGCTGAACGTTCTGGGTAGGTGTGGACGTATATGACGCGTGCTTACGAACGGCATGCACACCATATAAGGAAACATGTCAGATTTGAAGGTGGGTCTATAATGTATTGGAACAGCTGTGACAACATAATTGCATCCACAATTACGCTGTCTGCGCGGTATGATGGTCCACGTGTTGTCTGTCAAGACAATAACGAGTTGTTCCCCATGATTGTAGAATATGTGTATTTTATGGAAAATAAACTAATCCAAGCATGGTATTATTATCTAGCTTTCCCATATCAAACCATCTCCAGGAAATAATTGTTTTCTCTCCTCATTTTAGAGGACTGAGATGCATTGTGCAATATCAGATATCAAGCAAGATTGATAACGGCTTTAGTATCTGAATCGAATCGTTGCATTTATTGCAATAACAAAGTTGTCTGTCCATGAAGCCTGCTCTTCTTCTAGACACCCTGGCTCTTTGTTTGTACCATTAATATACAAGACCAACGTATTCTGTTGATTGTTGTGCTGCTTATTTGATTATCGAATACTCATTTATTGTTATTTGAGGGTATGTTGTAGATAAACACAGTCATTTCCTACCATTTCTCATTATGGCTTTGGGGC